TACTATGAACGCGTCGCCAGAAAATTTCAGAACATCGCCGTTATGCGAGAGAATTTCCTGCACCATTGCACCGATGTAACTGTTTAAAGTTTCCGTCAACTTTGACGGACCGCCTACACCAGTTTTCGTATACTTCTCTGTGAGATCCGTAAAACCTGCAAGAATTGTAATTAAAATTATATACGTGATGTTACTCACAAAAAATTTATATATAATTTGCATATAAATATCAAATAAATGATTCGATGATTCTACCTGAAACATCGCCAAGCATTAATGTTGTGAAGTATTCTCTGGTTCCATAATCATCGAAATGATCGAGGATCTCGTCGGGACACATAGACGCGAATATTTTAGTATGGTGCTCCAAACGAATACGCGAGAATCGCTCTGGATTATTTGTTGCCGAATGACCACCTCAATTTTTTTCAAATTATGAGTTAAACATCTTGTTTAATATATATTTAATATTCTATATTATGCTAGTTTAACGAGATCAAAATTAAAATTATAAAACTAATAAATATATTTTTATGTAAGTTAGGAGTTATATTAGATGTATAATAAATTTTCACACATTAATTAAATTTTCACACACAACTTACTTTTTGTCACTAAGGCATTTGCGTTTGTTAGCATATTTGCCATTTTTTTTTCCAAAATTAATATTTCTAATATTCTAATAGAATTAATATTTCTAATATTACCGCTAGATAGCAATTAGATGATTAATTATTAATGCTAATAATTCCTATCTATGTATTTGCAATTAAAATAAAAGAAGCACTCTTTAAATATTGAAAACAAACTTCATACTCATGCATAAACAAATACAATGGCCGCATTTAGCGAACTCAAAGTTAGGCAAAGTTACTAGATTTTCCGCTCAATATATACAGGGTGTCCCACTTTAACTTTCACACCGTAGTAACTCGAAAACATGGCGTTTTGGAAAAAAATGTTTCAAATAACAGTTGTAAGGTTTAGAGGGGAAAAAAGATAGGGATACTAGTTTGACCTTGGGTGGAGGTGCTTCGGAGATTTGAAGGTCATCTTTATTTTTTAAAATAGAATTATACTGATTTTTTTATATAAATTGATTCCTCGCAATATTCGTTGTAAAAAGTTATAATGGTAGGATGGACAAAAATTGAATACTTTACGAGATATTTTATATTACTTTAATTTGACATAATTTTACACAAACTATAAAATCTCGTTAAATATTTGTTTTTCAATTATCTTACATTAACACTTTTATGCACAAAATAATAAGAGGAATCAATTGGTGTAAAAAAAACACATAGTTATCTTTAAGAAAAAATATGATATGACATCATTTCAGCTACATATTTTTTCTTAAAGACAACCATGTATTTTTTTTTACACTAATTGATTCTTCTCATTATTTTGTGCATAATAGTGTTGAGATAAGATAATTGAAAAATGAATATCCAACGAGATTTCATAGTTCGTGTCAAATTATATTAAATTAAAGTATAAAATATCTCGTAAAGTATTCAATTTTTGGGCATCTTACCTTTATAACTGTTTACGCTGAATATTGCGAGGAATCGATTTATATAAAAAAATCAAAGTAGTTCCATTTAAAAGAATAAAGATGATTTTCATATGACCTTGACGAATGACCGTAGTTAAAATTCATGGTCATCATGTCTTTTCTCCCCTCAAAACCCTATAAATTTTGTCTGAAACATTTTTGTCTGCTGCGCTCAGTTTTTGACATATTTGACTGGCTAGTTCAAAATAGGACCTCTGTATATACAGGGTGTCCCGTAAAGACCGTAACAACGCTTAGGGGTATTTTTTTTACACTGGTTTCGTCATTGGAAATTCCTTACATTATGAGAAATATCAAAAATTGTTTGGGGAAATCCAAAAATACATTTCCTAAATTAGAATAATTCTTTTTTTTTGCTATAGCACAGAGTTATACACATTTTTTGTGTATTATATGTTTATAAAATATTTTTTAAAAATATATAAAAAAGAAAAAATAGAAGAGGGGAAAAAAGCGACAAAAGAAAAAGAACGAATCAGTATTCGCGATTACTTAAAATCAATCTACATCGCAACCGCCAAGGAGTGATAACTCTCCAATTTTATCGGGGATGGAAAGCCCAAATTATGATGTACCGCATAACGGATAATTGATTGTGGTTGACGGTGTGATTTGTAAGTACATACATACATACGTACATAAACATATCACTTACAGTTTAAAAATATTGATAAAATATCTACTGATAAATGTTGTCCGCCTTCTTTAAGCAATAGAAATATAAATATTTAAAACATTATTACTTTTAATTAGTTTTTATTTTTATCTATTTTATTATATACAATTAAATTTAAACATTAATATGTAGTATGTGTGGTATAAATATATAGTAATGTGACAAACATCTCGTTAAATCTCTAAAATTATAACGCGTGCAACAAATTAATCTTTTTCTCCATATCTTACTTCCTTTCTTTCATATTGTGGTTTTGTGATAGGAATTTCTGCTGATATTTAGAGAATAATGACGACAAATTCTAACAATTATCTAAAAAAAAAACAATTATTTATGTTTTATGCTTTAACTTTTTATGTATCATGCAAACAGTTTAACACCATTTTTGCATATTATTTAATTATTTAAAGCTAAAAAGAATAAATAACAGAAATATGTACAATAAGAGAACAGAAACAATCAGAAGAAAAGAAAGAGAAGTTTGCGATCACTCATTCAGTCTATGTCGAACCAGCTAAGGAGTAACAACTCTCTAACCTTATTGCAGACAAAAGTGACCAAGTTTCGGTTAGCCGCCTAACAGATAATTGATTGTACTTGACAAATTTTTGAAATATATTGTTTGCAAGTGTGAAATATGTTTTAATTTTGCAAATTAGATGGGCATGATTCCATACAAGGTAAATAAATAATTTATACACATTATAATACAAAATGCTAGCAAAAAAAAATACATCTTTAAGGTACTTCCTACAATTTCTCAGTTACTCAAGATTTATTTGAAACTTTAAGAAATAAATCTAAGCAATTTACAATGTTAAACAGCATCTCGAATATTTTTAGAATTTTTTTCTATGTAATTATTAAATTATTTTTTATCTAATAATACATTCACTCAAGAGTACACGGAGAAAATTTTATATCAAAATTTTATATCAAAAATTACTATGCACGGTAGTAGCCGCGGATCATAAAGGAATTATAAAAATTTTTACTATGTTTTTCACATGTGAAACAATAAAAATTTTCGGTCCGCGGCTTTATGGTCCGCAGTTAATGCCGTACATAGTAATTTTTGATATAAAATTTTCTCCGTATATTCATAAAATGAGTATCCATCATGCTTCGTGATTCTGTTCATCGCTATGACAAGCGTTTTCGCTTTCCAATGTCCCACAAACAAGAACTGCTACTGTAACTCGAACAAAGACACAGACATTATAACATGTACAATAAAAATTATTTGAAGTTTCCTTAAGTTACAACAAGAGAAATTTGACTTTATTGGATGGATTTTTTAGCAATTTAATGAATCTGGTATATTTGATACTGACAAATAATGAACTAGTCACATTACCGGAAGATCTCTTTTGGGGATCATTTTCGCTGAATGTGATTATGTTGAGTAACAATTACCTCCAATCTTTGAACGTAACAATATTTCGGGATTTGACAAATTTAACAGAGTTGTTCTTGAATTCTAATAATCTAAAAGTTTTGCTTGATTATATTTTCTTAAATACCAGTCGATTAAGAAAATTGGATTTGTCAAATAATCGCATTACTTCTATTTCCGGGTATGTTTAAATCGCTTTTATTATATAATTGATAATAATTGCTTACATGTTCTATAATTTTATTTATATAGAAATTTTTTTTGTATTTCAGACAACTATTTAATGGATTAGACTTGTTGGAACATCTAAATATGGAACGAAATTGTCTAAGAACTATTTCCAATCATAGTTTTAATGTTTTAATAAATTTCAGGATTATCAAATTGTCTCACAATTATCTTACATTACAATCTAACTTGTCCGATTCGTATGGCGTAACGATATCGCCGATATTTCTATAATTGCAATTGGCTGACAGAATTATATTTATGTAGCTAACAATAGTATTTCGGAAATATTTAGAGATTGGATTACTAAGCACGATTTCATAAATTGGTTCTCAGCTATAAGAATATATTTTCTACAAAAGTAAGTATTTGAGAGAGCATCTCGAAAAATTATATATACAGAATGTTTTAAATTTGAACGATTAAACATCGCCAGTATGTTCCATGATTAGAAATAAGAAGAAAATGTTATATAAACATCTTCGTTATATAAAGATCCAGAAATGTTTCATTATAACGTAACATTGAAAGAAAGGAAGTTTATTGGCGTTCTTCTATTAGAAAATTGCCGTTAATATTTTCTTACAGCAAGTCGAGAATTTTCTTTGCAAGAGCCATAAACAAAAATCATATCTGCGTACTCTTCGTGCGAGAACACTTGTGGCATTTTAATATGAAATTGTGCTATGTACTGATACAATGAACTGATTTTGAGATTGATACAAATCCGCTCATTCATTGAAACTAATATCCTTCAGTGATTTCAAATAATAATAAACATAGTTGGAATAAATCGACTCTTACATCTAAGGACTTGGACCGGATCGGAATCGAAATCGAATCGTTTCGTAACCATTTGTTTTGTTAAAAAGAAATTGGAACCAAACCAAAATTTCGTAAAGTTTGTAATACCAGAACCAGAACTGGATCAGTAAAATAATTTTCGGTTTTTACGGTTTTTTCGTTTTTTTTTTCGATTTGCACTCTATAGTTTTATTACTCTTGTTACGCTAAAATAACTTTATTACTCTTGTTTGTTAAATTTTTTATTTGTTTTTATCGTTCTCCTTTCTTCTTTACGTTACATAATTTATAGGGACTTTTACAATACATTCACGTGGTAAGGGCCATAGCACATTAAAAATGTAAGTAGTAAGTAAAAACCGTTATTTAAAGAGTTGTGGTTTTTTTTATCAACTAAAATACCGAATCTGGAACTGGAACAGTTATTAAATATTTTTTTGAACCGTAACTGTAAAGCGAACCGAAATATCACATCGGTCATAGTCTCTGCTTACATTGCAATGTATCTAAATATATCAGAAAAGAAGAAACTTATCTAAAAAATATTAGTGGACTTATGGTAAAAATATTACTAAAAAATAATCTTTTAAATTGTAATTGTGACATGTATGAATTTCTACATTATAACGAAGACAAAATGCGTAACGTTTAAAGCTATTTTCAGATAGAATTAAATAATTTAATTTGTCATTGTCTGAAAGAATTGGAAAAAGTTATATTCCAGAAATTTAATTTATAGGATATAAAAAGCACACAGATTCCATTACAGTATGGCTCGAAAAGTGCAAGTACTTTTTGGCCTCATGATGAAGCTTTTATATTTGATTGTTCTAATGAAAACTTAATGCACTAATATGCCAAACAATATAAAAAAGCCTAACATTTTCTCAACTTAAAGTTTTGCAAAGTCAATTAACACATAATTTATATTTGAATTTTTCTTATAATTGGTTAACGCAAATGCCAAACTTGAAAAAATTGGTAAATAAACTTTCTGTATCCTACAACAACGTATCTAATATTTCTTTAAGTGGATTATCAACAACATTAAAAGTGTGTAATACAACTTGTACTTTATTCACAAAATAATTTATATAATAAGAGTTCAAACAAATTTTTAAAAACATATACCACAAAAGCATCCAAAAAATAAAAAAACGTTTAATTAACAAAATTTCATAAATTGATTTTGAATTTCTTTCAGATAACTGTGTATAATAATCTATATAAAATATATATATGGCAGATATAAAACCGTAAAACTGTATATTATGTAAACATATTATAAATAAATGTTATGATTAAAATTTAAAAACTTAAAATTAAATTATTTATTTCAGGTTTTAGAACTACACAATAATAAATTGTTAAGAATACATCCTAACGTGCTGAGGTTTTAGGAAAACTCTACCAATTTAATTCATTTGATGTTACATGAAAATCCGTGGGAATGCGACTGTGATGCTAGAGGTTTCTACAATTTTATTCATTCAAAAGTCGAAATAATCGAAATGTCTAAAATAATATGTCATAGAAAAAATACATCCATATCAGAAATGACCAGGGACGATTTTTGTCCGTCTGACAACAGTGATTATCAGCATTATCAGTGCAGCAATTGCTCTTATTGGATTAATTATTTGTATTTTTGGTCTGCATTACAAATACAGATCAAGAGCACATTAAAATATGACTTTTTGCACATCAGTGGTGTTTATGGTTTGTGATGAAAGAGGAGTTGGATAAGGACAAATTGTACGATGCGTTTGTGAGCTTCTCGCATAAAGATTACGATTTTATAGCGAGCTGATACCGAAGCTAGAGAGTAGCCCGATACCGTCCAAATTGTGTGTTTACTATCAAGATTGGTTAGCGGACGAATACCGGATAATATTGTTAAATCCGTGGAGAATTCTAGACGAACAAGAGTGGTACTCTCGTCAAATTTTTTGGAGAGCATCTGGGGAAGAATGCAGTTTCGGGCTTCTTATCGTCAAGCGTTAAACGAAGGTCGGACGCGAGTGATATTGATCTTGTATGGTGACATCGGGCCGACAAATAATTTGGATCCTGAAAGCGTACATATCTATGAATATGTACGAATAATGGAGAGATCCTTGGTTTTGGGATAAATTAAGATACGTTCTGCCGCATTAATCCTGACAATCGAAAAGCAATCATGCCCGAAGAGAGGTTCTCGAATCTGAACTGCAAAATCATGAACTGTCAACAAACAAAGATAACAAAAAACTCATTTATTGTATTTTCTAAGGCACTTGCAATCACTCTATCGTTAACTGATTTTTGTCAACAGAGCTATAACTAGAATCATGAGTAATAAAATTGATACAACTGTAAAAAATTATTTTCTATAATACAAAGAAAGAGGAGGTTTAGATAGCGAGTAAAAATGATAAATTACGTAGGTTTATCACTAACGATAAAATATATTAACTCAATACTTTATCATATGTACTGTGTAAGATAGTTTATTCATCGGTTTGTTGCAATATTAGAAATAAAGTACTATTCCATAATTATACAATCTAAAACAAAAATAATACAGTTTCGCTATGCATGCAGAAGATCATCGTCTCTGTTCGTTTGGCATTATGTGCGATCTAAAGCATCGAGCAAAAAGTCTAGCTTCCTCGGTGGTATCAATTTCTATTATAAGAAATTACATATTGAAATAATATATTAAATGTATGCAGTAATTTCTAAGAAATATGTAACGTATTTGCATAAATATTAAAGATAAAAAGAGGTACAAATGTATTCTACAGTATTGGATACGCTCCTCTTCTGAAACTAAGCGAATTTATCTAAGAGCGAAAGCAGAGCGCTCCTTTTTTGGTTTACAAAAATAGATTAAAGCGATTAGTACTGCGATCACAGTTATTATTACGACAGCAACAGTTTCAGCTGTAAGTACGATTCATCGTCGTAGTAAAATGTGAGAAGTAGAAAGAAACTAATCGTATAAAAAAACAAAAACATTTATTGCAAAATTCAATTCTAGCAAAATATCTTCACAAATAAAATAAAATAAAATTTACTTTCTTCTTTCGTACATATTTTTTTATTTAATCCTTTTACTCTTGACCTATTTTTGCAAATTAAAAAAATTAAAATAATATACTTTAAAAATAAACACTTTATAAAAAAAATGAATAAATAAAATATATAAATCAGCACATTATACACATGTTCATAATCTATTGATACTAATTATTTAAATAGCATCTTGTAGAGTAGAGTAGTGGAGTATTTTGAACCTATTATGAAATATATTTGTTCCAGTGAAAATGAAAGGATTAGCGTCTATAAGTAGTTTAGTCAAAACCGTCTTATCACTTGTCTAAATCTGTCTTAATATATTGAATGTTGCCGTAATGTTAATGTAACATTATGTTTTATGTTTGAAATTGAATATTTCAAAAACTTATTTACTGTGACTTGGAAAAAGTTTCTTGACAATCTTACAGGATATAGGTACTTTTCGATTCGCGGCTTTACAATTAGCATGTTTCGCGCAAATTATCTCGATGTGCCATTCAAATTTCGCGTTGCATTGCGATTCTTAAAATATAATAAAGAAAGATAATGATAATTGAATTAATTATAAATAAGCTAAATAAATTCATAAAAATTTTGCGTAGCATCTAAATACATATATGTCAAAACAATCTCAAAAAAATAAAAAATATTTTTTAAAAAGCAAACATAAATTGTCACTGTTGGAGAAAGAGCAGAAAAAAATCACAGTGTTCTTAAAAACAAAAAATTCAGTAGCGAACGGTTTTTCTATTCTAATAATAAGACAAAAACAAAAATTCCTTTTTCTTTTCAATTTCACTATACTTTCCAACAGTCACATTAAAAAAATGTTTACAAATTTTTATTACTTTTTTAATACATTTTATATTTTACTTTTTAATCGCCACCTGAATTAAAACATTTGTCGTACCAAAAAATAAACTAATCAATTTTTTTGTGACAAAACCTGTTATCAGCAAGATTGAGGAGTGCGTGTTGTCATGCCTTAGATTTATTGCCTCTCTAAAATTCAACTTTTGTATAAACTTTTGTATAAAACATTTATTGAATAATGCAGATTTTTTTCAAAATATTTTAGGTTGATATTGAAAATGGGTAACCTTATATGATACTTAACTTTTAATTAATTGTACGACTTAATTAGTTATACAGACATATTGCATAATATACATACATAAACACATCACTCACAATTTAGAAACATTGACAATATATTATTCACTGACAAATGTTGTCCATTTTCTTTAAGCAATAAAAATATAAATACTTAAAAATATTATTAATTTAAATCAGTTTTAATTTTTGTTTATCTTATTTTGTAATTAAATTTAAATATTAATATGTAGTATGTGTAGCCTAAATATAATAATGTAACAAACATCTTGTTTTTAAAAAATTAGAACGCAATAAAGTAATCTTTCTCCATATCTTTCTTTCTTTCTTTCATGTGGTTTCGTGATAGGAAATTCTGCTGATAATTAAAGATTAATTACGTCAAATGCTAATTGTTTTAGAAAGTCTAAAACATAGTCTCAAGAAAAATCAATTATTTATGTTTTGTACTTTCAATTTCTTATGTATCACGCATACAATTAAACGCATTTTTGTATATTGTATAATTATAAAAAGAATAAATAACAGAGAAACAATACAAAAGAAACACTAAAAGAGCGGATACAGTCAGAAGAGAAAAAAAAGTACGCGATCACTCAGTCAGTCTACGTCGAACCAGCTTAGGAGTAGCAACACTCCAACTTTATTAAAGACAAAAAGTTCAAGCTTCCATCAGCCGTCTAACGAATAATTGATTGTAGTTAACAATTTTTTGAAATATATTGTTTGCGAGTGTGAAATGTGATTATAGTTTTGTAAATTAGATGAACATGATATTCTTTTATGTCGTTTTGGTAATCCATTGCTTATATAAATTTTCTAAAAAACATAGTTCACAATTGAAAAAAACAAATTTATCAGAAATGTTGCGGAACATGCCAAGCTGTGCTTATGTACGATACCCGTAGATAGAAATCGGGAGACGCGGTAGTGTCTCCGGCCAAGTTCAAAAAACGACACTACTAATGCCCGATTCCACTAACGTAGATTAACTTTAATCTCGGTTCAACTTACTCTTCATCTTTTTCTAGTTCTAAGAATTAGAGCAGAAAAAGAGTCTCTGGCAAAGTTCAGAAAATGACACTACTAAGGGCCGGTTGTTCCAACTTCTTGGTAAATTTACCTATCAATTACCTATTAGGTAAATATCAGAAAGTGTTGTTCCATTTGTTGGTAAGATTTACCTACGGGTTAAATTGTTATTACCAAAGGTATTTTACCTCGGTACTCAAACCACCGAGTAAAGTCT